TCCTCTTTTCCTCTCTGTCTCTGTTTTGTCCTCAAAAAGAAACTTTCTCTTTCTTCTTCTTCTTCTTTTTTTTTTTTTTTTTTTTTTTTTTTTTTTTTTTTTCCATTTATTTTTTATTTTTTATTTCTCTTCTGTCTTTTTACTTATTGTTCTTCGAGACAATCGCCATAGTCTCGAGTTGATTGGGACGTGGTTTCCCTCCCCCTCTCCCCTATAATCCTCCCTTCATCACTTCCGGGAAAGAGACGAAAAGAAAAAAGAAAGAAAAATCCAGACGAATAACGCAGAGGATCACGACCCGAGATATATTATTATTGATGACCGAATCCGTTGCATTGTTCTGGCATATTTGATATTTGGACACTTTCTCGTCGGGAGCCCGTTTTTTCCGGTGTCGAATTCCCGCACAATTCGTCACCCCGTGAACAGCGCGCGTTGTCCTCTCTTGACCGTCTACTCTTCTTTTCCTCCGACTCTCCCCCATTATTCCCTTTCATACAAACTCCCTCGCTGGAGTGGGAATTGATCTTCGACTCTCCTCCGATTACGGTCGCTCCTATGTTTAGGTAGCCTCCGCTTCGAATTCGCTATTGGGATCTGATTTTGAACCCCCCTCCCCCCCCCCAATTTTCCCCTTCTATTCAACCTAACTACCTCCCGGGATATCGATATAACCCCTCTTGTTACGTGTATTGTGTTTGAAGAATCGCTATATTTCAGCCCGTTATGAGTTATCAACAATCGCAGGATATGTATCACGACAATCCTTCTGCCCGTTCCCCCGGCTCCCAGCGTCACCCACAGACCTTGCACCGTCAACCCTCGCGTCAGTTCGATGCCTACGGTCCTATGCCCGTCAACCTCTACGAAGACCCTATGGCTCGCTACGACACCGCTCGTCTTGAGCGCTTGAACCCGTCGCTGAACAACTCCTACGGCTATGATCTGGGTGGTTCGCAGACTTGGAACCCCAACGGGTTTGCCAACCCCCAGGCTCTGGGAGGCATCCGGTCTGCCTCGAGCAGTTTGAAGTCTAACGCTCGCGGTGGTAGAGCAGGTCTTCCTACGGTACGTTTTGGTATTCCCTTGTTTTTGTGTTGTGATGGCAAGATAACTAACCTGGCGATTTCTAGACCTGGTTGGATCAGCAACCCGGCATCGCGAGCCCCTTTTCCTCTAGTCTCGGTCCCAGTCCGCTCCAGAGCAGTGCATTGCGCCCAGAAACTACAACTTCGGAAGTAGATGACGAATTGATTCCCACCGCTATCGTCATCAAGAACATCCCGTTTGCCGTCAAGAAAGAACAGTTGGTGCAATTGATGACCGAGTTGAACCTCCCCTTGCCCTATGCCTTCAACTACCACTTTGACAATGGTGTTTTCCGTGGTCTGGCCTTTGCCAACTTCACCTCTGCCGAAGAAACGGCCACCGTCATCGAAGTTCTCAACCACTTCGAACTCCAAGGCCGGAAATTGCGGGTCGAGTACAAGAAGATGCTGCCGCTCCAGGAGCGTGAACGGATCGAGCGGGAGAAGCGGGAGCGTCGCGGTCAACTCGAAGAGCAGCACCGCCCTCTGCCCAACACCCAGCTGCATACTCAGAGCTCCATGTCTTCCCTCACATCTCATATTCCGGCGACCTCTCCGTCGCCAGTTTCGCAGCGTGGTCAGAAGCTTGGTACCTTCACCCCCGTCCATGCCAAAGATTGCAACTAACCATCTGTCCTTTCTTTTTAGAGGTCGATCTCAATGATAGCATGACGCTTTCGTACTACTCCCAACTCCTACTCTTCAAGGAAGATACCAGTCGTGATAGCGTGCTCTTCCCCGTCAACTTGACCCCGGTTCTTCGTCGCACAGTGCACACGCTTGCTCATAACATGGGTCTAGGCCATGCTTCGCGTGGCTCTGGGGAACAGCGCCAGGTCCAGGTTTTCAAGGTCATGCCGGGATCGAATGTGAGCCCACCCTTGTCCTCTATCCCCACTGCCGTCCAGCCCCCCGAAACCGCCCGTCGGGGATTGAACCGCGCGGCAACGATCGACTTCAGCGAATCTCGTAACGACGGTCCGCCCCCCTACGGTAGCCTTCGAAGCCAGGCGTCGGGATTCCTGGGTGTGTTGGACTCGCCAGGGAACAACTTTGGAAACGCACAGAACCTGCGCGCCGCCAAGTCCTTTGCAGACCTGCGCTCCTACACCCCGTCGCCCGTGCCTTCATCGGCCAGCTTCCCCGCTGCCTTGCAAACCAACGGCGCGC